GGATCTGGGGTATAGGACTGACTTCGTGAAGTAGATGAGCTGCTTAGTTCATCATGCAGCAGCCCATACTTGGTGTAGATTTGGGAGTTGAGTAGGTCATTGAGGGTGCTGCCCTCAAACCGATTAGTGAGAACCTGCAGCAGACCCTCAGCCATCTCTACAGGCACGGAGATCTCACCTAGGGCCTTTTCACATAGGGTCTGTCAACAGAGGGGGGTATACATTTCAGGGACAAGCAGAAGAAACAAAGGTGCTGGTGACAGTAATGGAAAGGTGGCCACCCCCCACCATGCCCTCATACCTTCTACACACTAGACCCTCATAGTACTGTCTCCTCCCCGAGCAGGACCCTCCCCCAACTCTCTAACCTCTAGCTTCAGCCTCCCTGTAAGTGGCATCCCATACCTATTCTAATAGAACTCCCTCTAGAGAATTCTACCTCTAACCCTACTATAACCTGCCCCCACTGCCCAGGTATCTCAAGCCTGTAATACCTCATCCAGGTTCTCCTGTAGATTCTGGAAAATTGGCTGCTGTTCACATAAGTCCAACTTCTTGATGAAGAAAAGCAGTTCCCACCACTCAGCCTGGGTCAAATATCCCAATCCCTCATTCTTCTGAGGCTCAGGCTGAAGGTATGGCAAAGAGTAGAGCCCATCCACAGGCTTCCAGTCCCAGAAGGGAAATACTGAGAATACAGGCACAGAAAGATCAGTACCTATTAGGAATATAGTCAGTTTGTGAACCTCTGGTGCTGCTCCTGGTCAGAAGTGACTTCATCCCAGTCACTACTCCTCTGTCCAGAGACATGCTATCCACGTCCCCTCTCCGGCTCACCTGTGCCCAACACAGTAGCCCCTGCTCCCTTCTCCACAGCTGCTGAAGCTGTACGCTCAGTAGGCTCCTCAGGGCCCAGGATCTCCAGCATGTGCCAGTGCACCCAGTAGGTGCGGCCCCTCGACTTCCAGAAGACCTGGTATGAGGGAAGAAGAAAGAGGAAAGAGAAATAGAGAGGGCTCAGCCCTCTGAGTCCTGGCCTGTGAAGGCTTGAAAGGATATGCTCAGGCTCAGGCCCATACCTGGGGCACACCCTCAGATACACACCTGGCTAGGCTCGGAAAAACCTCTATATAGTAAAAGGCTTCCTTTCCCTACCAGGAGTGGGCTCTGCCTGTCTTCCTAACCATGACAGCCTCTGCTCCCACACTCCCCACCAGTCTCCGCCACTGGTGGAAGTGGTAGTGACGTATCTTGATATATGAGTTCTGCTTCCTGGGTCTGAGTCTCTCCATGATCTCACAGCCCCCCTGCCTCCCGCCAGATTTCCTGAGCCTTCCAAATGGCACCGCCTCCAAATGCTGACCCCCTTTTACCATTCCAGTTCCCCTGGGGGTTTTCTCCTTGGGGGGCCTGAACAGAAGCCCCTACAATAGATCCCCAACAGTGTCGCACCACTGTGCATAGCTCACCTGCACAGGGGGCACGCCATTGTTGCTCTGCCGGAAGGTGCCCTCCTCCCCAGCACAGATCTCCTCATAATCATCCAGCATCCGCACTCGCATCCCGGGCTGCAGCACCTGCTGCACGTATTCTCCATAGCCGCTCCGGCTAGAGAATTCCGAGCGCTGGAGGAAGGCCCACCCTTGCCTTCTAGGGGTGGTGACAATGGTGGGGAGTAAAAGGCTGGGGTCTGAAATGCAGGGCTGAAAGATGGACCGGATTGGCCGGGGAGGCAGCGTGCCCTGTTTGCTGAGGTTCCGGGCCCAGCCCATGCTCCGCACCAGCTCTGAAATGAGGTTGCCCACAGCCATACTGAACTCCAGCTCCCGCTGTCCCCGGCTTTTCTCCCTTGTGGGGCACCGAGAGCTTTGGTCTCCTGCTCCTGGCTCTGGACTGTTATTCAGCTGATCCAGCAGGGAAGTAACACATAGGTAGCGCTTCACCAGGGAGAAGAGCAGCTTTCCTGGGATCTGCAGGACACAGTCCTTGGCATAGGTTCACCTCTTCCTAGTTTTAGCCCCTCCCCTTCCCCCCAATATCCTCCTCTACAGAAAAATATAAAGGCTTTGTTCTCAGGCCTGTAGTTCTCAAACTTTGATTTGTATAAGAAATACACAGGGAGTATCTTAAAACACAGATTTCTGGGTGCTAATCTCAGAAATTCTGAATGGGGAGGAGGGCATGAACCTTCGTTTTAACAAGCTCCCCAGGTGGCTCTGCTGCTGACACACAGTCCTGAACCATGTTTTCAGAAATAATGCCTTAGGCCTTGTACACAGCATTTTCCCCACAGCTGGCAGAGTACCTGAGGCAGATGAATACCCTCAAAGGCCATGCAGTGTTCTTCAGAGGATGTAGTTTCTGCAAACAGCTCCAGCAAAGTATAGCGGCTGTCAAAATCCATGTGCTGCTCAATGCCATCTTGCTGGCTCAGTGACAGAAGGACGTGAGCCCGACTCCCTGTAATCCACACCCAATCCGTATCTTCTCTTCAATCCCCAATACTTTCTCCCTGCCTTTCCTAGATTCTATGCCCTGCCCCAGAGGCTTTCAAACCTTTGTTACTGATACCTACACCCAGAAATACATTTTACATGGTAATCTGGTACAAACATACACACATATAATGGAAACATATATTTTATGCTACAGAATTTACCCTAAGTGCTGCATACTTGATATTTTACATTTTTAAAAAATGTTGGTTGTAACTCACCAAATTGATTACAAAACCAACTAATAAATCTCAACCCACAGTTTAGAAAATGCAAATCTACCCCATTCTCTTCTCTGTCAATGCCCTGAGAATGGACAGGTAAATCAGATACTATCATTTTCTTCTATTTATATACCTGTACTAGCCTACAAATCTTTACTTTTGTTTTGCATCGAACTGATATTCACCAAATACTAGGTGTTCTTACAGAGTTGGGAAATCTCTTTCTGTTCTTACTTCTAGTGGCCCCATTCTCTCCAACGCTTTCCTTCTTCCCCTGGCTGTCTCTTACCAGCATCATGGGCTGCCAGAGCCTGCAGCATTTTGCCTGCACTCCGACGGATCTGAGGCTCAGGATTGCACAACATGTGCATGAGCAGGTCCAGGGCTCCTGTCTCCCTGAAGACACCAGTGAGGGGCCCAATGCTGGCATAAGCACTGAGCACGTGGATGGTGTGGAGCACAGCGGCTGTGAGACTTGAGGTTCCACCTTCTGCCAGCTGCCTGGCAGCCCTGCGTACCAGCGCCCGCACATCAGCCTCCATCTCTCCCATTGCCACTTCATCCAGGCTTCCTGGTTCTCGGGGGAAGCTTCCTGAACCTCCAGCTGGTTCATGCTGAGGTCCCTGAGATAGTGCCCGTTCACCTAACAACATGGGGCAGTTGGCGTAGACCTCGGGGGCTGACAGCCACATGAGGATGTGCTCTGCCTTGCCTTCCTCCACATCCATTTTGCCCACTTCCCCACACTTCAGAATACTCCATCGGATCAGGTATTCAGGACGCCCATCATGCCCAGGCCGCTGTCGAACGAGTTCTTCAGGATATGCCTGCAGTCGGGGCCCTAAGGGCACCATGAGGTCTCCAGCACGCCGTTCCCCTACCATCCTGACCTACCGGGATACACAAGGAGAAAGATAAAGCAGTATGGGAAGAGAAAAAACCACATAGAGAGGGGTGAAATTTTGAGACACAGAGAGGGTGGTTGGTGACTGGTAAGCTGCATGGTGGAATTTAGGAAGCAAACAGAAAGGCAAAGAATAGGATGAAATGAATAGCTGAACATACTTTCGGATTTATAAGAGGAGAATGGGGTGAAAACAGTGAGGAAATGAAATGAGGGGGTTTAAGAAATGGAAGAGGTTACAAAGAGGATGAGAAGAGTAAAACGCAAGGTAACAATAAACAGAGTGACAGCTGAATGGGACAGTCTGGGCAGAACAGCAGAGGGATACAGATCAAGACTTAGAAAGATAACATGGGTGAGCAGGAAAGACAGCAGCACGTGAAGCAGTGGGGTGAGAACATGTGAGGAGAAGTAGGATGGGGAGGGGCAGGACAGGGAGTATAAATAACTGGGTAAAGCTGGAATGTAGACATAAAGGGTGGGCCACAGCAAATACAAAGAATGGAGATGACACGAGGCTAGGACACTGGGGCAGATGACTGGATGGGAAAAGTGTGTTGAGAGTCTTGTGAAAGGGGGAAGGGCATACGGATCTGATAAAATTATGGGAAAGAAAGATCAGGTCCCACCCTGCACTTATGCTATATGTATGGTAAGGATCTAAGTCAGGTAGATAGAGATGGAGGCGGTTATCATAAGATTAAGGGTAGGGAATGAGGCCAGGAGAGAGGCAATATAGTGGCTTCAGAGTCAGATAAATGTGACTCTGCATTCTGGCTCTTTCCTTACTATCTGCATAGTTTGGGACAAGTTACTTAACCTCTGAGCCTGCTTCCTCTTCTGCAAGATGGTAATAATATTCATACCTACCTCATGAAGTTGTTGTAAAACTTAAGATCATGTATATAAAGCACCTAGACAGAACAGCATCTAGCACATACTGAGTGCTCAGTAAACATAATCTTAGATGAAGAAAGTAGGGGAGTCATCAAATAAATGCAAAGTTATTAAGCCAGATTATAAATGGGAGTGGAATGACCAGGAAAGATATGCATGATATGAAGCAGTGTAGGGGCAACAGGCATAGTGAGAATAAGAATGGACGGTAAACCCAGATGAAGAAATAGGGATCAGGGCAGGAGTGACGTTCCAGTACAGGAACAGAAAACGAGAATAGAATAAAGAGTGAAGAAGGGGGGAAAGGATGTGGACCTCAATGGGTCTAGGGGTCCACTTAACATGGGGGCAAGGCTGGGACGTAAGCAACAATGTAGCAATGGGCATGCGATTAGCGCATGGCGAAGTAAAACAATCCCACAGGCCTGGAGGAGGGGGCAGAGGGACGCATAAGGTGGGCCTGGAACAGGAGCAAGAAACTGAGGTGTGGGGGTGAGGTCTGGACAGAGGTATGAGCCCAGAATATAAGTAGCAAGGTAAGGCCCAAGCATGCAGACCAGTGGGGCAGTAGAGGGGGCCAGTACGGCACAGGGAAGGGGTTTGAGGGCGGGGGGAGGATCCGGGAGCGCGGTGCAGTCTGAGGATCGAGCGGCTCTCAGGCAGCAAGACATGGTTCCCTTCGTCAGCCCCACAAAGAGTGGCTAAAAAAGAGGAGACGGGGGTAGGAGGACTGGATCGGCGCAGGACTCTCCTCTCACCTCCCACTGTCTGGCTTAGCCCTTGCTGGGACCCTGCGGCCAGTTCCGCCGTCCTGGCCCCGCCTCTTCCGCAGCTGCCTTCCTCCCTTCCGGGTCACACGGCGAATTCACGCACGGTATGGCATCTACGGGTCCCACCGCGGCCCATGCCGAGCGTGGCGGAGCAGCGCGCGAGTGGAGCATGCGTGCTATGCCCGCTGGCGGCTGCGTGGGGAGAGAGGCGTGAGGGCGCGCTGCAGCCAGAGCCTGGCGTCGCGGTCGCGTTGCTCCGCTCTCTGCAGGAGTAGGAAGCCCTTTCCTGCTACTACGAAGCAGCCCCTCCTCCTCGGTGAGTCGGCCTTCCTAATCCTCCGTCTCCTATCGTGGCACCCACTGTGAAACACAGTACCTCACACTCCCACCTTAGGGCGGTCCGTTGAGTTTTCAGTAGGTCACGTGCCCATGAGTTTCCCAAACCCAAAGCAATGCTTTGGGTTAGTTGTATCACTTTTCCTATTAGTTAAAATTGCTTAACTCTGTGTCAGCCTAGGGAGAAAGTCCTCAGTGGGGCAAAATGTTCCTTAAATTAAATCGTATAGGCCTGGCGCGGTGGCTCACGCCTGTAATCCTAGCTCTCTGGGAGGCCGAGGCGGGCGGATCGTTTGAGCTCAGGAGTTCGAGACCAGCCTGAGCAAGAGCGA